CACTGTATTGACTGAGATTTTTCTCAGAACAGTTTAACTGTCCACTTTTCACAAAGATACAGCCTTAAAAACTTCTGTTTACTTCTGCTCTCTGATTTGTGTGTTTCAGCGATTAGTAATCTATAGTGAGGTAAACTTAAAGTTGCGAATGACGGATGGGAAATAGGATCTCATTTAACTACATCCAATGTATATTCCCTATTCCTATTTCCACTATGTACAGAAATCTGCTTTTCAGCCCCTTTGAATATCAGTTTAGTAGTTCTCTGGCTTTGTTGCCTTCATAAATGTCAGTGTGCCTTTGCTGGTTTTCTTTCCTCTCCTTTTCCTCCCCTTCATGGCCTGACCTGCTCCTGTTCCCTCAAGGCATAGAGTACATGTCACCTCTTGTATAGCTTTCCCTGCCCCTTACCTCATGCCTACCTCCACCTTCAGGCGGGAAAGTGGAGCATGGGATCCACACGGGTTCTTCATTCTAATGAGATCAAAAGAAGAGAGCATGAGTGCAGTGCTTAGGCAGGGGGTGGTTTAGCATATGACATTGGGCCACCTGGTTTTTAATTCCTACTCTGCCACTTAATATGTGACCTTGGGCAATGAACTTAACCTCTCGATGCCTTAGTTTCTGCCTTTGTCAATTGGAGGACAATAATAGTACCTGTCTCATAGATTACTGTGAGGATTGAAGAAAATAATACATGTAAAGTACATTCTAATATAGAGCTTAAGAACATGTACTCTGGAGCCAGGCTGCCTGTCTTCAAATCCCTGCTCCATTACTTAGGCAGTCTTCCTACTCCTCAGACTCCTCAGATGGTTGCTAACATCTCTGAGCCAAAAGTATCTCTGAATCAGATTCTTTTAGGTGAACACAGGGTCAAAAGGAGGGAATCCATTCTGTGTCTTTAAAGCAGAAAACAAAAAAGCAAAAGCTACTGTTAGGGTTGTTGAAAGAATCACAATTAACATATGTAAAATACTGAGGCCAGCGTGTGACAAACAGTTAGCACTATTTAAGTATTATTTATTATTGAAAGGCATAGGTAAGGGTCTGTCTTACAGTATGCACTCAAGAGTGTATGCACTCTACCCAGTGATCCGTGGTGACCTAAATGGGAAGGAAATCCAAAAAAGAGGGGATATATATATATATATATATATATATATATATACACACATACATGTAGCTGATTCACTTTCCTGTACAGTATAAACTAACACAACATTCTAAAGCAACTATACTCCAATAAAAATTTTTTTTAAAAGTAATAGTTGCTGCTTTACAGGGAATTCCCATTTTTCAACAAAATTCAAAAAAAGAAGTGGAGAGAAGAAAGGGTCTGAGGTTGAAAGAGAGGAAAGCGAGTTAAAGCCATGATAGGATGCCACTACCTCCCACCCAAATAACTAAAATGAAAATGACGATACTAAAAACAGCTGGAACTTGCACACACTGCTGATGGAGTGTAAGTTAGTACAGACACTTTGCAAAACTGATAGTATCTTTGAAAGCTGAACTTAGACATATCCTTGATCCAACAAATCCAATCCTAGATGTCTATTCACCCAACAGAAATACCTGCTCCTGTGCACCCAAAGATGTGTAACAATATTTATAGGAACATTATCCTTAATAGCCAAAAACTGGAAGCAGCTCAAATAAATTCTGTATGGTTATAAAATGTACAACAGTGTGTGTGTTATTATGATGTGTAAAAGAAGCCAGACACAAAAAAGTATATACTGTATGATTCTTTTTATTTATTTATTTTTTAAGTTCAAAAGTGATAGAGCTAATCTATGGAGTTAGAAGTCAGGATGGTGGTGATCCTTTGGCAGGGGAGTAGAAACTGGAGTGGGGCCCACAGGTCCTGCTGGAGTTCTGTGGCTTAATCTAATTTGATGGTTACGTGAGTGTATTTTCTTTGTGAAAATTCATGCAGCTGTATTCTTATGATTTATGCATTTGTTAGCTATGTATGTTAAACTTCAATTTATAAATGTATTTAAAATCAGCAGCCTTAAGAATTTTGGAAATAATGGTTCATTTTTTCTACTTGCTAAGTCTCCAGAGAATTAAAGATTTCATACTTTTAAATAATGTAGGTGTTCACCACAAGGCTGGAAAATTAACCAATCTGGCTTCTTCTTCATCAGTTGCGTCTTCTGAACTGCAAAATAATATTCTCAAGAACAGAAATTAAGTACCTCAGGCAACATACTTTGAAGTAATGGTTAGTTTTCATTTATCCTGCCACCTCACATACCCTTTTACAGACTACATCGTCTCCATGTATAAGCTGTATATAAAACTATGGTTTGGAGCTAGAATCGGTCTTTTTAACTTTTCTCTGAGTGATAATACTGTCATCCTTCAGATCAGATCTGGTGGTTTTAAAGTTTGATTGAAGAAAGAGTTTTATGTGATCCAGCTGTGAGATGTGAGAGGCAAGTTGGAAGGTGCTTGAATGAGCATCAGTTGTAATTGATGCTTGTGCTTGTTGCTTTGGTGTCCATGATGCTGCTTTTTAGTAACTTAGTGAGTTTTATCTTTGAATGGAATGTGTTTTGTTTAGTCTGCATTGTGCCCAGACTGAGGACTGAAAACCTTACACTTTTGCAGAACATGGCTTTGTAGCTCTTTCCTTTCCTGCTATTTTTGTACCATGTGAATAATTGCACAGTGAGGCCACCTGCAAGGCCTGAATGGAAAGAGATAAAAGCGGCCATCCCTTAGATTGGCACTTGAAAAGCTGGTATACATTTGGAGTTCATGCCTGTTTATCCTTTATATGTTAAAGTCTCAAACTTCATTTCAACATGGTTCAAACATCTCTGAGCCACAGGTATCTCTGGTTCAGTTTCTTTAGCTGAACGCTGGGTCAGAGTAGGGGGACCCATTCCATGTCACCCAGAATCTGCTAGAGGGACTCAGTTCTCATTCAATTGAGATAATAAGAACAGCAAGTTCCACTCCTGTTTTAAGTGTGTTGGTTTAATCATCTCAATGAGCCATCCAGTTTGGCATGCGCTTCACAGGGAACAGTAAAAACATAAGGTTCTTAAATTTTCAAATTAATACTTCAAAGTAAGTGTTTTTTGAATGCCTAGAATGTATCACACCTGTTCGGTATTTGTCAAAAGTATTTCTCAACATACCAATTTTTTTGAGGACTTAACTGAAATATAATTAACACATGCCTAGGACATTGCGAAAGAGGTTGATGATTAAAAATGCACACCCACACTCACCCATATTCTTTCACTATGGATATATACAAATCCAGCATTTATGGGTATGTAGTAGATTAGGCAGGGTCCCTTTAAGCAGCCTTTCCCAACGGATTTTTCTAAATGCTCCGGGCTACAGAAGGCTAGGTTCCCTTTGCTGAAGTAGCAGGAATCGCATAAATTAGGGAGGAGAGTACAGACTGGTTTCAGAGTAAAGAAGCTTCTTCAGTCTTTGAGCAAAGAGCCCTTTGTCACTAGGTGTCTCCTCTTCATAAATAATATTACAGTACTTTGGTAACCCAGGAGTCAGAAACCCGGGAACTAATAGAGGGAATGAAATATAAAAATATTCCCTTATTTCCTGAAATGATGGACCAGAAATACTGGTATCTCCACAACAAAGTATTATACCACAGACTCTTTATTTTCAAAATGGAAAGATCTCAAAAATAGGAACTTCGGGCTTCCCTGGTGGCGCAGTGGCTGGGAGTCCGCCTGCCGATGCAGGGGCCACGGGTTCGTGCCCCGGTCCGGGAAGATCCCACGTGCC